ATTAAATTATTTGAAACTGTAGTCATTTTTTTTTTTTTTATGAAACAACATAGAGTTATCGGTGATGAAGGCAAAGAAGTTGGTTTGCGAATTGCCTGTTGGTTTGTAGTTTGACTGGCTTGCTTGGTATTAGTGAGACCAGAATAATGGATTATCAGACAATAATATAATATATATATAGTGGCTTTTCACCAACTTATGATCTGTTAAATCGTTCCTGTTTACATCAACTTGTCCAGGGGCATCGTCTCTGTGTAAATAAACAGCATAAAGTATTATTGGCTATAGGGCTGCAACTAGAGATTATGTAGTAATCAATTAATCTATCAATTATTCTAACGATTAATCGATTAGACAGATTAAAAAATGGCACATTCTACGGATTTTTCATTTAACCACTTAAAGCCTTTTTTAAATCCAAAATTAGAAATGCATTACAAGATGCAAATAAGCAATTTAATTATTTAAAAAAAAAAATAAAAACAAACATTTTATTGCCTAAGATGCAATACATCCTAATGCAAAATGTATATATTTTTCATACAGTTTTGGCTTAATTACTGGTCTGAATTTGTTGGGAAGTTTTTATTCACCACATGGCATTTTTTGAGTCTGTATATTCCAGTTAATAATCAGTTACTAAATTAGTCAACAATTATTTCAGTAATTGAGTAATCATGATTAATTGCAATTTATCCGATTCATCGTTTCAGCCCTAAGTGGCTAGAGGACGTATTAAGACTACCTAATAATTGTAATTATCATTGGTAAATGACCTTTTACTTGGTGAATAGGGCACCAAGACCGGCTCCAGCCCAGGGCCCCAGATTCTTGTAAATCCGGCCCTGGTCAAAAGCTGTGATGTTGAGTCAGTGTCTACCCTCAAACTCTGGGAAGCAGCTCAAACTAATAGCTTTTTTTTTTTTTTTTCATTGCTTCCCATGTCTTACACAAAAGAACAATTAGCGATGTTTCCACTGTGTTTGTTTCTCTGACAGCGGTGTCCAACCTGGACGTGGAGAGTAAGCTGACGGCACACTTCAGAGCGCCGTGGCGCCTCCAGAGGAATGTTTTGCACCCCTCCACACGGCCAGCATGTGTGGAAGAGCTGTACAGGCAGGCCAACCACAGCCTGTGGTCGCTGAACCAAGGTGAGACGTTAGCGCCTGACTCATACTCCTGCTGCTCACCGCGGCCGTTGTTCAGGACGATTATACGTCATTGTTCAATTTCAGATTTTTAACTTAACATTAAATGCACTTTATTTATTAACTGGTGCTCAGTTAATAAATAATGTCACCTTTTTTCACATTTTCAACTTTAATTTTCTTTCATATTTTCAGTTTTAATATCTTTTTGCTTTTGTTTTTGCTGAATGCTGTCTTATTCCAACTTACTCTTGAGATGAAATGAAATCTTTATTCATTTCAAACATGGAAAATGTCAGAGAAAAAGATTAATAAGAACAAAACAGCAAGAAAAAGACATAATAATCAAGCATATACAGCAAAACTTTCATATCCAGTTGGAAAAGGATCAGGAAGAAGCCAAAGCTGATTCAATCTCCCAAATATATCCCACATTATACATATCTTCACATTTAGTTTTTAACCCATGTCACAATTTCTACTCTTTCAAAATTACAATTAATGAAAAGAAAAAGTAAAAAAAAATGTTGTGTTTATTTTTGACTTACATTTGAGGCAACGCTTTGGTAAAAAGTCAGAATTTTTTTAAGTTGTCCTGCTTTCAAACCTCTGCAATTCTGGTGTTATTTTGCCCCCTGGTGGAAAATGCATGTAAATGCGCCCTCCAAAGTTCAATCAAAAGCTTCCCGCATCAATAATTCTCACAAAACCTGTAATCACAAGTACATCCATCTTCTGCCTTCTCTCATAATCATGTTTGTTGCATGCTGTTATTAAAGTGTGTCTGTGTGTGTGTGTGTTTTCAGATCACCAGAGGAGGGAACGCAGAGTGACCATCTCAGCCCTGCCCCCCATGCCCATATCCCCCTCCCCTCTCATCGAGCCGACGGAAGATGGTCGGGGCAAAAGTCTAACAACGGTGAGGCGATTGTTGTCGTTATCTCTTCCCGTTAGTCTGCAAGAACAACAATCAATACGCCAATGTGTTAGGCTTTGGACGTCCTGCCAGTCAGCTTGTTTTATCTGTAAACACCTAATCTGTGAAGTTTTAACCGTAAAGTCGCAAAAACATCTGATATTTAAAGTGAAGTAATGGCTTTTCTTTACAGATATGCTCAGACCTTCAGATATTTTCCTAATCTTATCACGTTTGGTAGTTCATAACTTGGGAAGTGGAACTTTAGTTTTTGAAAATTATTACAAATACAAATCAGAAAATGGAGCTGAGCTCAAAAATAGGTCAGAGAGAGGCTTCCGAAACAACGGCAGAAAATCTAACAATACAGTACGACATTCCCACTATGGGACCTGGTGGTGGCAGCATTATGGTTTGGGGATTTTATTTTTCTCCCTCAGCAGGGAAAGGAAAGCCTTTCAGAGTTGATGGGGATGAAGCTAAAAACAGGACAAACTTGAAATAAAAAATAACAACAACAATAGAGATACCAAAGATTTGAAACTGAGTGTGTCAGAGGTTCATCTTCCAGAAAAACAACAATCTCACACATGAATGAATGAATGTTTTTTTTAAGAATGGCCCAGTCAAAGCCCATACTTGTATCCAGTCTCACTGAGCTTGAGCTGTTTTCCAAAGCTTTATATACCTCAGTGGACCTGCATGGACCACACTTTTCAGATTTCAAATGCTTTTTTAAATTTTTTTATCGTTGCTCTCTTTTGTGTTTGTAATGTGATAAAATGTGAAACTGCTGTTTTTGCACAAAAACCAGCTGACATCTACAGATCAGCCTCAGTTTAATAATCTGGCTGTGCTAAAACTTTCCACCGGCACATGAAAGATTTTGTGTAGTTCTCTGTAATATACTGAAGTTTAGCCATAACTCTCCTTTTAAAGTGACGGCACCTTTTTTGTTCTCCCTCCTCCATCCATCCAAGCAGCCAGAGAGACACTTTAGAGATGCATCCACTCAGTTAGCTGACGCTCAGGTAAAGACGGGAACGGAGACGTGTTTTTGTTTTCATGTCACCGCCGTGTGTTTCGACCTGCGTCACGCCCCTCCGCGTCCTCACCTTCACTTGTGTCATTGTTTTTAATTTTTTGTTGTCATTTGCTTGTTTTCTGTGTGTCTCCGTTTGTCGTCGCCTCTCCACCCTGTCGTTCAGTTCGACTCCACACGCTCCTCCTCCCCCACCGAATGTTGCAGCCTCTCTCCGTGGAGCAGAAAGGTACTGGTTCCGGTCCTAATCCCACCGGTTCCCTCTCGTTTGCTTTCCACCTGTCCTTTCATCTGATTTGCATGACCAGTCTCTGCTTTAGATGCATGAACTCTCGGCTTCTCCGCCCTCTTGAGGTGATGAAGTAAAAACAAAACAAAAAAAAAACAGAGGGTGTCGGTTTGAAGTTTTTCTGTGAAGTTTCAGTTTGAAGTATGTGATGTGTGTGTGTGTGTGTGTGTGTGTGTGTGTGTGAGCCATATTCACCCTACGTTAATAAAAGGGTTGACGTTTTGGGAGCTTGTGTCTGTGATTACCCATGATCCTCCTCTCTGCACTAGCCGACAACCTTTGAGCTTGTTTGTTTGACCAAAAAGGCCTGATGCGTGCGGACAAAGACAAACACGAACCGCTACTCCTCTTCACCTTCCTCCTCCTCTCCCCTCTCCCCTCCTTCAAAAGGCTCATCCTTCCTCTCAGAGCCTCTACGAAACAAATCAGCTGTAAATGTTCCCCCCTTTGATTTCTTCTTCTTCTTCTTCTTCTACTCATTGCGAAAAGTTTCCAAGGAAACCGGTTTCTTTTGTTGGGCCCGTTGGTCTGCTGGGAACCGGGAGCACAAAGGCTAGAGAGGCGGCTTTAAATGGGGGCGTGGGGGTGGGAAGACTTTGGGTCGCAGAGGTGGGAACCAGTTCGGCCTGAGAGTCACTCCCAGTTTCACATGTTGGAAACTCGAGGGAAGGCAGAGAAATCCTCAGCTTGCTAGACATCAGAGTCGGTTTCCAGCGCGTGTCGGAGGTCCAGGAGGTTTTGCTGCAGCTCAGAGGAATTTGATCCTGACACGTTTTTCCCGGAGGCTCGCCTGCTGCTGCCGCACATTCTCACAGTATGACTGCAGGCTGTGTGTCGACTTCAGAATACATCTTGTAGTCTAGAGATTGTGACATGTGTGTGGAGTGAGTGCCAAAGTTTTTATTGGTCTGAGCTTCCTGCAAGCTGGAATTTTTCCTCGTTTATTTATTTTTTTTTTTTTTTGCATGAAAGTCTTGTGTTTCTTTGAACGCTTCTCTCTCTTCCTGCTCTCACTTGCTATGAAGCGTGCTGTTCATTTCCATTACTTAACGGATTCTTTGCACTGCTGTGTGAAACTCAGCTACTGGAAGGGTGGGTATGTTTAGTGATATATTCTCAGTGTTCACACTCCTAGCGACGTGGTTCTCAAACTTTTCTTAGCAAACGCCGCCTCAGTATCGGGTTTTCCAAGCACCACCACCGTCCTGACCGACATGTTAAAACGGCGCACTGCAAAAAAAACAAAAGTAATTCTTGGTCCAGTTTCTAGTGGAAATATGTTAGGACACTTGAAATAAGATAAAAGTAACGTTTCAGCAAGATGTAGGAGCTTGTTTTAAGTCAATAATTCCTTAATATTGATGAAAACGTTCATGTGGCATTGGCAGTGTCCTGAGGTATTTGAACTAGAAATTAGACCAAAATACTTGGTAAGATTTTGTGTTTTTGCAGTGCAGCACAACAAATCAGAAGATGTAATTAGAAAAATCTGAGGTTTCTTACCAACTCCAATTTCAAAATTAAATATGGCTGCTTTAAATATGCAACTCGGTGATTGCGCAGTACAGAATCTGTTTGTTTGGAGATTATGTATTTCATGAAAACGTCAGAAAATATTCTCTTTCTTCACTACTTTAACTCCTCAAGTGAAATGTCGCCGATGTTTTATCATGTAAATGCGTTTTTCCTTTTTTTATTAGCTTGTTTTGCTAATAGCATCTACGCCAGCCTCTGAACAAGTCATTTAGCTAATCTCGCTCGTTTTTGAATTTGGAAGACGAATACAGTTAAATTGTATTCATTTTTATTTCCTACATCTGAATTCTGACTTCTGATGTAAATGAGTCGTATCATATTCTGTTCTCGGTGGATCTTGGTTCAGAGTCTGTTTCCGTTGTGCTTTTCTTCTGATAAGTCTCTGATGAAGTACTTGAACAACTTATATTTTTAGACTCTTTTTACTTCTGTTAAATAATTGATGCCAACATTTCACAGTACCGATTACCACCGGTGGTATTTGCAAAGCAGTTCGAGAACCGTGAACATAGAAAATAGCGGGATAATCCCAGACTTTGTCCACACTTTATCTTTTTTTCTTCTTCTTTAACTCTGCCTACCCATTTTCCATGTAATCCCACCATAACAGTGTAACCATGCAAATATCCATCTGTTGCAGGCTGCGCCTACTGACCCCGACACTGACGGGGTGGCTCTAGGTCACCGGTCTAAGTTTCCCATCCCTAACATCCCCTCCACCCTGGACAAGCAGACTAACTGGTCTAGAGCTCTGCCGCTGCCCACCCCAGAAGAGAGAATGAAATGCAATTCCCAAGTCATCGCCTCATGCATCATTCCTATTAATGTGACCGGTAAATTGAAATCACCAAGATATCTCAGTTGTCATCTCTTTGTTTACAGAGCACTGGAAGCTGTCTTTACATCTTTTAAAGAAGATCTATGATGCTATTTTTTTTATCTTTAAACATATTGAAAACTACCTTAATATTAGCAAAATGGCATTTTCCAGGAGAATGTGGGCTTACTAGCTGATTAGCTGCATTGAATGTGAAGTAAGAGTATTTTTTGAACATTAAATAAGAGCAGAATTGTTATGGCAACAAAAATTACTTTAAAAATTGTAGCAAAACTTACTGAATCACAGAAGTTTAATGTGTTAGCATAAAAAGCAGAACAGTAGAAGGTCTCATGCTACTATTAACATGCTAACATACTTAAATTAGCAACAATTTTGGGTTATTTGATAAATTAACCATTAAAATGATTGTGATGTTTGTTTATGATTCAAAAGACTATTAAAAAAATTATAAAATCTCTTCTTTGGGAGAAAGAGAACCCTGTCTTCTTTTTTTAATACTTGGTAGAAAAAAAAACATGCTAGCTGTCGCCCAGTTAATTCATTCACTTTGAAATCCCCACAACAATATAGCTTCTCACTAGCAAAATAAAAGTAAAAGTCTTATAGTAACATTATTTAAAAAGTTGTAGCAAAGCTGGAGATGGAATATTGAAATTTTTCTACTTTTAAATAAAAAGTCAGTCATGCTAGGCTAATTGTCTTGTTTCCTGTTTAGCGAAGTGGTTAGCACACAAATGTTGAAGGAAAAACAATTTCTGAATTAATTTTTAAGTCTCCAATGAGTTATTAGAATGTTTCCAAACACCTAGCTAGACGTTACTAAACCAAAAAACTGAATTACTATGCATATTATTATAATTAACCCTTTTAGTTTTGACCTAAGATTTGAGAGGAAGAAGCAAATTTACAAGAAGTTCAGTATATTTCACATTTTGACTCATTTTATTTAAATAGTGTAACCTTTTTGGTTCAAAGTTTCAGAAAAATCTTCACCTCAAAAGATCCTGGGTTGCTAGCATTGCTAGTAATTCACGGTCTGTGAATTACGCTCACAGACTGTAACTATAAACGTCCGAGTCATGCTTTGTGCTCGGCGAACTCTGTTTCTCAATGACACTTTGCGTTTGCTAAGAGGCCAAGTGCTGTGACATGAATGGCAATTAGTTTTGTTCAGGCGGATAAAAAGATCTGCTTGATGTTATTTACTCTCCCTCTCGCCGACTTGAAAACAGGAGCTTGTGTGGCAACATGGGCCGAGTCAAAGACAGTTGAAGAGGGGAAAAAATGCACATTGTAAGCAGAGTCCTGCAATCGCTATGGTGCTGAAAGCCCCAACTTGTTGTCACATGATGGTCATAACGTGACGGAGGGGCAGCAGGAAGGTTAGTTGGTGAACTTAAGCAGAGGTATTCAGAGTTTGCAGCGAGATTTCTTCCTTTTAAATGCTTGTTTACGATTTCTGTCATAGCTGTCAGAAAATATTATAGCTTAGCAACCAGAAACTCCAGGCAGACACTGCGGCTTTATGCCTCTCTCAGATCTCACACAGCCTCTGCTATTTTTGTACGCCACCTTATTTAGTTCAGTCATTCGATATGTTTATTTCAACTTTTGCCGTTTTATGCGACAGCGTGAGTTAAAAAAAGGATTCTCTGCATTTGGGACCAAACAAAGATTCCTCACATGTCCTGTCTCCGCTGCAGGGGTTGGCTTTGACAGAGATGCTAGTGTGCGCTGCTCACTCGTTCACTCACAGTCTTTGCTTCAGAGGAGACGGAAGCTAAGGAGGCGGAGGACAGTCGCTGGTTTCCCCAGACAGGTGCAGCAGGATTTTGGTATGTATCTTTTGTTTGTTTGTTTTTTTAACCCCATGTCATATTGGGGATCTTTTTCCACAGCGACTTGCAGTAATTAGTAATTACTACTGCAGTAATTACTGAACTTCTTCTTGTTTTTTCCACATTACAAAATGTGTTTTATTTGGATATTTCTGTGATGGCCCAATAGAAAGTTGTGCATAATTGTGAAGTGAGAGATAAAGCATGTGTGGTTTTTAGGAATTTTTCAGATTTTTTATTTATTTATTTTTTTTACTTAATTGTACAAATGTTTAAATCTTTTTGGATGCTGCCATTTTAACTTCATGTTGCTTCTTGTCTTTACCAGCTTTGACCGTCTGTAGTCTGATTCCGTTGTTTCATACCAACGCATTTAAATTCAACTATATAAACATCAGTTCAGTCCTTGTTGTGGGACAATACAGTTAAATTCAGTGAGTAATGACAATTAAATAAAAAAAAATAAAAAAACAGCTATTTATCTAAATTATTGACTAAAAGTAAAGGGGGCTGAATGAATGCCACCCTTTTCAGATTTTGCTGAGAAAAAATTAAAGTAAAAATTTTGTATCCATTGTCTTTCACTTCTCAAATATCAACTACTGTGTCTTGGTTTATCACATAAAATCCATGTAAAATGTATCAAAGTTTTACAGAATAACGGGTTCGTCTCCATAACATAAAAATCTTTTTTATTAATTATCTTGAAGACACTGTATTCTTTAACAGACATATTTTTTAAGTTAATACTTTAACTCAACAGTTCACGGCAAAAACACAAAATCTTACTTTTTTTTGTTTAGTTTGTAGAGCAAAGTTACTTTTTACTAATTTTAGACGTAGTACGATAGTTGCACTAGAAACTAGACAAAAAGTACTCGGTAAGATTTTGCGTTTTCGCACTGTTGAAAGATTATAGAAAATAAAGTCTGGATTTAAGAATCTGTAGCTGAAACTCTTTCAATCCTCCTTTTTTCTCCAGACTCTGATGACTCCCCTGGTTCTAGGGAACGGACAGTCATTGTTCACACCACTGCCAATATAACTCCTTCCACTGAGGAGCTGGCCAGCCATCTGACCACCAGAGACTCAGGTTGCCAGACCGAAGACTTTTTGACTTCGGGAGCACCGTCTCGGAGGAGGCTCAGGGTCCAGAGAGGTCAGGGCGTGTCGCTCCTGCTCTCCCACTCGGCAGGCAATATCTCCTGCCTGCCCGACAGCGCTGACCCCATGTTCTCCAGTTCAGTGGAGGCCCGTTTGCGGTCGCGGAGTCTGCCCAGAGACAGCAGCAGGATGATGATGATCCTGATGGACGATGAGCGCAACGACAGCGACGACGAGGAGGAGCTGGCGCCCTTCGACTCCAAGGGTTTCCTTCCCGGGCGCAGAGAGAGGATCCTGAAGGAGGAAGAAGAGAGCGCCGACGATCGGGCTGTGTCAGAGCGGCAGATGGGGGGGCTGAAGTTCGCGCAGCTGTCGGAGAGTCCAGAGTGCAGCTGGATGGAGCGGACCGGCGCTCAACTGCCCAGGAAAGCCGACATGGGCAGCTGCGAGATCTCGTCCAGCTCGGACACCTTCAGCAGCCCCGTTCACTCCGTCTCGGCTGCGGGGGTGCTGGGCAGCCAAATGGACCATAAGGACGACCACCAGTCTTCCAGCGGGAACTGGAGTGGCAGCAGCTCCACCTGCCCCTCCCAGACCTCAGAAACCATTCCCCCCGCAGCGTCCCCTCCACTCACCGGCTCCTCGCACTGTGACTCTGAATTGTCCCTCAATGCCGCCACTCACACCGCCGAAGACCAGACCAGCTTCCTGCTGGACAACTACCAGGGCCTCAGAAACCAGCGAGCTGGCTCCTTCTCCTCAGCAGCTATGGATATATTAGAGGAGGTGGGAGTGAGTACGCCCGTGGAGGGAGAGTGGGATTTCCCCAACGCGGAGCCGTCTTCCTCTCAGGGGTTCAGCCCTGAACCGGGCAGGGAGGCCGAAAGCAGCCTGGGCTGCCCCAGCTTCACCAGCATGGCTACCTGCGAGAGCAGCTTCTCCGACAAGCCACCATCAGAGAAAGCAGACACCGTCTCTTACTACTCTGTGGACACCGAAGGGTACTACACCTCCATGCACTTTGACTGTGGTTTAAAAGGCAGCAAAAGCTTCACCTACAACTATGCAACCTCCGGTTCTGATTGCGGTTTGTCAGACACGAGCGGCCAGCTGACTCTGGGGAGACGCTGCCTCTCCTTGAGAAAGTCAAAGGCCAAGCCCTCCCCACCAAAGAGGAGTTCCTCCTTGAGGAAGATATGCAGTGAGGGACACATCCCTGAAAACAGAGAACCAAAGATTACTGGTACCTACAGACATCCAGCGTCTCTGTCCTCTAAAGAGCGGAGAATGCAGCTGGCTCTGTCCGGATCGCAAGGACTCATGGAGAACTCCTCACTAGGGCGAGAGCCCCTCGAGGTCTGGGCGATGGAAGGCATGTCGGATCTAACGGATTTGGGCATTTTAAGCTCCAAAGACGCACATTCCTTTAAGGACAATGGCATTGTGCAGTCAGACTATGCAGATCTCTGGCTTCTAAACGATTTGAAGTCCAGTGATCCCTACCGATCGCTATCAAACTCCAGCACAGCCACAGGTACGACTGTGATCGAATGCATCAAGTCACAGGAGAGCTCAGAGTCCCAGACTTCCCAGTCTGGCTCCAGAGCCACCACCCCATCACTTCCATCAGTGGAGAGCGAGTTCAAGTTGACATCTCCAGAGAAGCTGGCCGGACTGGCAAGCCCATCAAGCGGCTACTCCAGTCAGTCTGAAACCCCCACCTCCTCATTTCCCTCCACCTTCTTCCCCGGACCTCTGTCCCCAGCCACTGGGAAGAGGAAGCCCAAAGTCCCAGAGAGGAAGTCGTCTCTTTCCTCTCTGTCTCTGCAGGCACGCTCTTCCAGAGACGTAGCGACCTCAAAGAAAGATCTGGAGCTGCCGATGATTCCTCCTTCTCACCTCGACTTAAGTGCCCTTCACAGTCCAAGCAATAAAGGCTTAGCTTACGGGAACCAGCTACCAAACCTTCTCCAGATCAAGCAAAAAGATGTGCCAACCGCCAAAGCTGTCACATCTCTGAACTTGGAGTCTTTCACTGCCCACTCTCTGTCTATAACACCCTCAATTCTTCAAAAAGTGCAGCTGCGGTCCATCAACAAGCAGCCTGAAGACCTGCATAAGAACAAAGTGGCCTCAAGACTCCAGTGTCCATCTGAGAACTCAACCAACAGTCAATTGCTAGATCTCAAGAGTTCCTCACTGCACAATTCTCATAATCATCATATTTCATCAAACAACTCAATCCATGCCTCAAATGAAGAGCTTTCAATGGCGAATAGCAAGGGCACAGAGGTATTGTCAGGGAGCGCGAAGGCTGTCGGACTGCGGTCAGAACCGTGTTTGGATGGTTCTAACGTCCCCAAGACGTTGACTGTTAACGAAGCAGAGCAGCGCTCAGAGTCACCGGTAACATCCATCTGCTCCGGAGAGTCGATCCCACACGTAGACGCTTCATGTCAGCAGCAGACCGAACTGCCCGAAGCGGAAATGTGTCCTTGCCCTCCGGTTTTACACAGCTCACCCAAGAGGTCCAACTGTGTGGACAAAGTGCCTGCCGCTGACAGTCCTCTGGAGACGTCCCAGGAGAGCTCCATCAGCAGCGAAGGGGAGAACGACACATCAGGGGTTTCAGCCGAAAGTGCCTCACAGGACAGGAAAGAGGAATCCGCAGAGGAGGCAGACGATTGCTTTAGCAAAGGCAGGTTCTTCAGGCCCTGTTCACGACAAACTATTATGATCTATTCCAGATTGATACATTGAACATTTTAATAAAAAAAAAAGCATAAGAATAGTAAAAAAAAAAAAAAAAATCATGTAACATGGATGCTATATATTAAAATCAAAATTTATCCATTTTTTTATTTCTGTAAAAAAAATTATTAAAATTAATTTCCAAGTTTTTTTATCATGCTAAGCTATTCTTTTACTTGATTTTTTACACTTAAACCGTTACACATACTGTTTATGTTTAAACATAACTTGTTAATACTGTACATATTCAATTTTACCTCAGTAGCAATAAAGGAATTACAAAAAATATTAATATTTTTGCATATTATGGACTTGTTATAAACTGCTAATGACCGTATTAAAAGTTTTTTATTTTTTTTTTATTTTTTTTACAGACTACACAGAAAGTGACAACTCTGCGTTGTCACAACTCGAGGAGTCAAAAAAAGAGGATGACAGCGTGTTTCTGTCACCCACCAAGTCCCGCACCACTGAGGATCTGTTCGCTATGATTCACAGGTGAGCGTTTGGACAGAAGCCCTCTCAGTCCTGGTTCACACAAAGTGTCTTGTAGCTGTTTGTGCCGACGGTGGTAGGAGTCAGACCCGCAGTTGGTGGGTCGCCGGTTCGATCCCTGCTCCATCATGTTTTTTGGCCAGCTATTATCAATGCTATATTCCACTGATTCCATATAAAACGAGTGATGTCATGCACAGAAGCTTCAGTTCCCCCTGCTGGAGAGCATTAAAAAAAAAAACTGCTCGCTGATGATCACTACCATTAGTTTTAGTTGTCAGCATAATGCACTAAGTCTTAAATATATGCGTGATATATAAAAGAAAATGGGGGGGAAAGGATGCTTTGCTGCTAATTCACTAGCAAGGACCACGCCACAAAGGTTTAAAGATTCATTGTAGGAAGGGGTGAAGAAGACAGGATGTAGGGATGAATGAGTTTGGGGGTCTGGTCTTCGGGGAAATTTATTCCGCTTATTTTCCCGAGCCTGCATAGAAAGCAACTGCAGCGAAAAGGAGTAAAGCATGGTTATGAGATGGAAAGATGGATGGATGGATGGAAGGAAGGAAGGAAGGAAAAGGGGAAGAGGTGATGGGATGAAGAAAGGAAAAGGGGAAGAGGAGTGAGGTAAAAGAGGTGGAGGGTGGAGTTGACAGACTGAGAAGGATGGGTGAGCAGAGTATAAATAGTCTGCTTGTAAAATTCGAGGTGTGGTTTTGGACGTGGCCCTGCTCTAGGGTTGCCACCTTTCAGAAATGAAAATAAGGGACGCCACCACAGTACATCGTCCTACTCTCATGGGTTGGGATGGCCGCTGCAGTGATAGACAATAATTTATGGCAGTGTTTTTGTTTTTAAAAAGTATTTCAAAATTGTACTCCAATCAGAGCATACGTTAAACCAGTTTAATTAAGCAAGTGTAAAATGTATTTGGTAAACTGCTCAAGTGCTGAGTAACTGATCATAACACCTGATTTAATAATCAAAATGTGTCCTCAGACAGGGCTCAAAAAGCATAAGTTATGTGAAAATTCTGGTTTTGTAAAGCGTATTAACAAAATATTTACCAAATTTACCACTGGGGTCAAGGTAGTCAGTGTTTTTTTATTGGGACACTTAAAAAAAGAATGAATTTTTTTTTTTTAAAACAGAGCAATATTTCATCATTTGATAGAATAAGTGAGCCAAAATAGCCACTTTTGTCCCCAGAGATTCAGGTTGCAGATCCCTGGCAGATGGAAAGTGTGATCCTATCTCAAAACACCAGCTAAAAGTGCAGCACTATAATTTTTAATTCATTGTTAAAATAAAATTGTGAAGGTTAAAAAAATCCACCACTGAGCATTAACAAAAGACATTTATTTAGCATACTTTCTACTCCTGTTGGCCCCCATCTAGAACCGCCCCTGGGCAGCAGGTTTATGTCTGACATTAATGACCACTGAACACTGGATTCATAGAAGATGTCAACATTTCTTAAAGTAGGAAATATTTATGTATTTACTGTTAATCTCTTAATATGATTTGTTTTTTAAATGGCCATTTGTATTATTTTGGCTGATACGACTATACATTAAATAAGCAAATACGGTAATTGATTATTTAATAATCAAATCACAACAGTCTACTAAAACCACAATAAGAAACTTAATTAATCAATAAAAGAAAATGTTCTGTACCATATCAGCCTCAGGAGATGACTGTTGGATGAAGAGACTGATGTCTGGTTCTTTAAGGTTCTGATGGGTCTGGAGTTTCTATCCTGATCCATTCTGTCTATCATACAGCAGCAAACCGCGCCAGGACGAACACATTTGTTTAAATTGCCTGTATTCATCCTCACTGACATTATTCAGCCTGGGATTTCCGTCTTCCTTCTCACGTTTGTATCTTTGCGAGAGGTTTTACTAGTAAAGGGCGGTGGATTATCGGGTTGAGGACGTTTTAAAAAGACACGGGTCGATAGCAGCTCACCGGGCTGTGTTGTGTACGTCTCTAGGCAACCGTGACAACAGCGTCGGTCCGAAGAGTTCTGGGGTCCTTTAGCTCCCGCCACGAGAATTTAGCTGACCTTAATATTTCCTGTGTTTTATTTTGGTCAGTATTGTTACACTAAGTGTTGATATGTGTGTGATAGGCGTGTCTGTCGGACATTTATAGAATACGGAACAAATCGCGTCCCGTATTGGTTCAATACGCCACGCAGGGTCGCAACTACATATCATTCAGGTGGATGCGAACACATAAATCGACGCGCCGCCCCCTCTGGTGCAGCGCCCCTATGCGTTGCGTGCGCTGCATGCCCACTTTTTGCGTCCCGTCAGGACGCAACATTTAACAGCCAAATACGGGACGATTCCGTATTTTAAGGGATGGGTGGCAACAGTACCCTGCTCCCAAACTTAAGTTAGCATATTCACTTGATTTGTCAACACTATGACAAGTAGATAACAAGGTCAGCAAAAAAATTTGATTAAAAGAAAAAAGCGAGTAAGTCAGCTATGCTAGCTTGACTTTGACCACCTTAACGTGTAGATTATGGTTCAGAGTTTGGTCTGTTTCGGTTCAGTGGGGGGGAAAAAGTAGCCAATCTACAACAGCGATCACTTAATGTTCTGTTCTTTGTGTGGGAAATGTTTGTGTGTCTTTTAGTGTTGAATCCTGGTGGTGTTGTCAGTTGCTATGGCAACACGTCTCAGTGTAACATAGCCGACATAGAGAGAGAGGGAAAAAGAAGTACTTTTGAGTTGTTCTTCAACAGTTCTTCTGCGCTATTTTCCCTTTGTTGTGGCACATTGCGTTACATTGATGATATCTATATCTCCAGGTTTCATTTTGGTAACAGAACTGACTGACTATGGATGACATGTAAAAGAACAGTCTTTTTCCCCTCCTGCATTAAATTTCCAGATGTAAACAACATCATCCAACATGTCAATACAGCTTTGACTTCATGTCAATTCATTTCATTCGTAGATCCAAAAGGAAAGTGTTGGGGAGGAAGGACTCCACTGAGCTGGCTGCGAGGACCCGCCTCAGCGCCTCGTCGGGTAACACCCCGCCGCCCGGCAGCAGCGTCTCCTCCCCGGTCCCTGCAGTGTCTCCCTCCTCCTCCCCCGCTGTGACCCCGCCCGCCCCACACAGGGCCTCGGGGCCCATCTACAGGAACGCGAAGAAGTCCAGCACCTCCAACGAGGAGTTCAAGCAGCTGCTGCTTAAAAAGGGCAGCCGCTCGGACTCCAGCTACCGCATGTCGGCTGCTGAGATCCTGAAGAGCCCCGTCACTCCAAAGTCGCCTGGAGACTTTCTGACCGAGTCACCCAGACAGTCGGAGGAGGCCCCCTCCCCACTGCAGCAACTCCTGTTGGACCAAGAGCAGCTGTCCAGCCCGTACCCCAAAGCCAACGCCGAGAGCTTCTCCCCGAGACCCTTCCTCGCGTCTGCCGCTTCCAGGCAGGGCCGCTCGAGGATCCCGCCGCCCGCCAGCAGCAGCCGCTACAGCGTGCGCAGCAGGCTGTACTCCACGCCCATGCAGGCCATCTCCGAGGGCGAGGCGGAGAACTCGGACGGAAGCCCTCACGATGACCGCTCCACGTAGGACACGGAGCACAGCAGGGATAGATCTATACGTTTACAAAGACGACTGATGGACCATGATGAAATATAATATATAAATATATCAAATATGCAGAAGGCAGGGGAGCAGATTCAATCATTCTAATAGTAAAAAAAATCAGATTCCTAGCAATTTTTATGGATGAATTTTTAAATATTTTTCTTTTTATATTTCAGTCCACTTTTTTTTTCTTACAAACTATTTTTAAAATAAATCCCTGTTATTACAAAATGCGTTTATTAAGAAAAGAAAAAACAACAAAAAAAAGAAACATCCGAAACCAAAATATTCATTCTGCCCAATTTAACTCTTACAGTTCCGATTACAGATTTAAATTGTTTCCAATTTTTGTAAACCGTGCCAACACAGACTAGTGTGATTTCTGTCGAATAGCTGTTTTTCAATAAAGTTAGCACAACTAGCATGACGTAGCTCTGCGTATCCCTTGATAGAGTTCTGCAAAAAGCTGCAAACATTTCAAAGTTTGTTCTATGACTGGCAAAAGTGAAAAACTCAAACTAAAAAACAGAGCAACTTAGATCGCGTTTAGTGAAAGTCTCAGCCTGATTCTACAGCCGACACGTGTCAACATTAAATAGCTCCCCACATCTCAGTGATTCATCTGATTTCCCTAATAATGTGTTTTAACAGCTAATGTTAAGCCTTCTTCTGACAATAACAACTTACACACCGAGGAGTTGTTGTTGTCAGCGGGACGTGTCGGGTCTTACGTTTGATTATCGATTATCTCTAGTTTTAAAGAGATATTTTCTTTGATTATTTGAAGGCAGGTAAACCCAACACCTCGTGACAGCACATGCGCTTCGTCTTATCTGTTCTGTTGTCAGATTTAAAAAGAAAAAAAAAACATAATAGTTGACCTTGATTTTATATCCTATAGATGCAGATTTTTTTTTTTACCTTTTATGTATTCTGTGAATACCTATGCAAGAAAAGACACAAAACTTGTACATTTCCTCAAGCCACTTTAACTTTCCCGCCAATCAGCACGTCACAACTAGCTTCAGAGAAATTATCCCGCCGTCTTTCCACTCATATTGTTAGCAACAGCAGTTGGAATACTTTAACTCCTAACAAGGACATATATAACGAAAGGCAGCTACTTGTTACAATATTTCAGAGTCATCATAGAGAGTTACCAGTGACAGATGGCGGAACGGTCTAAACCGAATACCAAGCCGACCATCTCTGGAGACAGGAAAGACGCAGGTGTTATCATGGGACACGAAAAAGTGCTCAAAAAGCCAGAGGCGGTGGAAACGCAGCGTGGAAAGATACAATGAGAAGGTCATGTGTTTAAAAGAACAGTGGTCGTTTGTGGCTGAAGATGTGGCATGTTTTTGAATAGTCGAAAAAAGGCGATAGGAAAGTGCTCAGTAGGATCGAATATGCCTTACTTTACTCAACAGGAAACAATACGTGACAAAACGTTTTCCCGGGGGAGGATTTTTCAGGTTTCTAACCAGAGGATGTAACATGTGGGGCCGGGTTATCAAGAATGGGAGGAATCTGTTGGATTCTGGGGCATTTGTTGCTGTCGTATGCCAAATGTTCCTTGGTGACTCCATAAAATATTTTCTATGTTGTTAACAACTTAAACATTTATTTGTTTTAATCAGAAGGATGGCCCCTGTTTAGTTTTTTTGATTGTTTGTTTTCTTTTAACAAACTAAAAGTGACATTTTAACAATGAATTGCTAGAAATTTTATAAAAACATATTCAGATACCTACTTTCATTTTGAAAGACACATTTTAGTTTTCTGTTTTCTCATTTCCAGGCATCGCATTTTGATATAATATAAACAATAGATGATTCAAAGAGCTATTTCAAAGAGCTATAAGCTATGCTCAACCAGTATGCAACCGACAGAATCGGTGTCGGTGCAGGTAGATTTTTGGCCTTAATGACACTCCGTACAAGTCGCAGCCATGTAACAGGGAATTCAGTGAGATTAGCCTCTCAACTTTCACTCCACCTAATCCCCACACCCCCTTTTTTGCACTGACGGAGAGATGTTTGTGAGGTTTCATTTGTCCCTGGCTGCGTGCCGTACCTGGAGATATTTATCGACCCTTCCACTCAGCTGTATAAACAACTCTTCCTGAATAATTTTGTCGTGATGTAAGAGTGGAGTTGTGTAGATGCTTCTGCCAAAGGCTGCAGGACATGTTACAGGACCAGTTTGGAGCATTGGACTGTGCTTTTCTCTTGCTACTTGACTGAAATGTTCTTGAAATCACAAAACAGAACTAAAAAAACAGAGTCACAGCTTATGGTACTAGATGCATTAAAAAAATTGGGCATGAAATGAACCTATACAAACAGTACTGTATGTGTTTTTTTTTCCTTCCTCTCTTTCTTTTATGTGTACAAAACTGTAAATACATGAACTGTTCAGAACGATCACAAAGGTTATCTAATTGTCTCTAATGTAAAAAAATAATAATGTTTTCAGAGTTTACATTGATTTCAGACCTTTGTATATTTTTGAGTTGTGGAACACTTTGTCTTGTATTTATTTTTTAGTAAGCATTGTGGGCATCCCATAGAAATCTTTATCTACTGCTGAAGCACAACAAGCTGCTTAGCAAAATGTGTATGAACAGACAAATAAATGTGACTGCTTTAAAAATACAACTTTTGAGTTTGTGTGGTCAATTCCAAACAGCTGGAGGTCAGCTCAACCTGTTGCTGATTTTTACCAATTTCATCCCTTCCTTCTGTTGTTTTGCTAACATGCGGTGCCTAAAGCTGCAGTATGTATGTTTTACAAAAGAACTATAATATAGATAGATAGATAGATATGTATCACAATATTTGTTGAGCGATACAATTCGCTACGATTCAGTGCATTTTTACGATTTTCTGAAATATTTTAGAAGGACAGAATGATTTTAGTGACATTTTGTGTTCCATAGACTTGACTATGGGGAAAAAGGCTTTTCTACCTTGGCTCCCGGAGTTAGCCGTGGCTGTAAGCTGCTTTCTTCTAACTGCTAAAGTAGTGGCTCCGCCTCACCCCGTAGTGATCGACTCCCTGCAGCTACGCAGCGCCGCTATTCCCCTGCTTGGATCTCTGAGTAGCTGCCTCTCAGACTGCCAGCATCTCATAGTACTCTCAGTCTCTGATACTCTTTGTCTGTTGCTAATAAGAATGATCGATCAGCCATTGTTATCATGGAAATCCTCACTGCGCCGCGGATTCCGGCTGGGGGTTTTTCCTCTTCGTCTTCCTGCTCAAAACACAGCGCCGCTGCGCGCCCGCTTCTGATGTTATCAACCCATGTTCATTCTTCAGGTAATCCTTTATATACAGAACAGAAACCGCTAAGCTAAAAACTAATTACGAAGTGAATGCTACCAGTCGAAATTTGCATTAATTTCGCGATCTCACTGCTTTTGCAGCTGCTCCGTTCGCGCCGCTACTCCTTTCCGCTTCTCCGTTCCGCTTCTCTTTCACGGTTACTTGCGCAACTTTACTTCGTTCCTCAGCAACAAAATACAGCCCATCGTTATTTATTGAAGATTTTACATTTCCAAAAACACAGGAATCTAATGTTTCGTTTCGTTTTGTACGTTTGGAAGCTCATTCCCTCTCACATAATCGGAAAAGCCGGGGAATGGCGGCGCTTTTGACATTTCTCTGACATTCGGAAAAATATGGTTTACTAATTTTAGCATAACTCCGGTTATACTTGGCCTATTAACACAATTTAAAAACTGGTGTGTAGTTTATAATGTGCACTTTAAGCTCAAGTTGAAAGTGAGACTGAGGGAGGCGGAGTCTTGCTGCTACGCCGTAACAAACTAGACTAAAAAGAGCTATAAGGCTATGGACCCCTATGGTTTAACGGATCGATACTCGCGGATGAAAAATCGATACTTTCCGAGGGCGGAAAATATCGATATATATATATCACCGAATCGATTTATTTATACAGCCCTATTAACATATTTGTTAAAACTGTCACCTTGTGACAATATAAAATGCGACAGATAATCTGTGAAAATACCGCGCTGCACCACTACCGGTCAAAAACAACCAATCAGAGGCAGGAGGCGGGTCTTAGCACTGCCAATCAAACTTGTATCCATTACTCCGGGAAAACCGTTTATCCTCCGTAGTCAGTGGCTATGCTAATCATAGATGCTAGGAAATAATATAACAGAAAGAAAGAAGGAGATGGAGAGATGGCAGAGGAGGAGCTCGATTTTTTTTTACAGATTATGTCTCATACCTTGCTCTCACTATAGTGACAGCTTAAAAAAAATATGTAAAAATATATTTTTAAATATAAGGTAAATGCTCCTGCTTTAAACCACTGAATCTAAATTTTGATTCCTTAGTATTTGTTGCATTTTCATGGATTATTTAAATAAATAGAGAAAAAAATGCTCAAATTTATCAGCTAACAAAATTAATTTGTATGTTTTATTTCAATTTATTTTCGTTCTGATCCCTATTGTTTCTTATAATATATAAAAAACAATGACCACTGATTAAAATCAAATGAAATAACCCAGAACAACCTCTTGCTTTATAGATGAGATTTTTTGGCTCCAATACAAAACCCGAAATAAACTGGCAAGAAACAACCCAAATTCCAAAATGGCAATTATTAGCACATTTGTGGAAGTTGGAGCTGACAAATATTGCCGAGCCAAGAATATGCTGAATGTGAATCAATAGGTGCTTCCATGATGTGCTAGTTTAAAGGCTGCACACACTCGTGTGACCAGAACTTTCCAGCTTTTAAAATTTTCACATTTTCCCCTCTTCACAGTTTTGTTTGCACCAACAAAACAAAACCGACTGATATTAATAACTTTGGAGGAAATGTGTTGCTTGAGTCCTAGTAAGGATAAACTGAATCGCTTTTGACCCGAGTAGAACACTAGAGGGCGCACTTCAGGTGAAACCACTCAGCATTGTTTTCCAGCTGTAATTCAATGCAAATTGATTAGTTTTTCTTTTTGGCCTTTTTTAACATTGAAACACGTTCCTCTCCGCGGAAGACCTACGTTTCTTTCTGCACATGTTTTTCCGTGTTCCTGCTGCACAGCTGGGACAGAAAATTCCCTTTGTTGTTCTGGCTGATGTCAACGAGGCCTTGGAATGGACAAAAACGCCTTGTTCACTGGGTCCTTGCATGTCAGTTGAACTAAGATTGAGGGGGAGCGATTTGGGGGTGGGGTGCAGGGAGCGGACAGGCTGTAGTGGTGGAGGAATCGAAGGTCATCTCTGCTCTCATGAGGAAGCATCATTAATATAATATTCCTTTTGCTCAGATGAGGGACGTATTCGAACATTTGAAGCTTCCCTCTGGAGACATACTGCTGTGGTTGGTGTCCCAATCTAAGCGTCTGGCTCACCAGATGTGTCGGTGATAATCCAGTGTTACAGTGACAGCTCATGTGGTTTGATAGTTTTCATGTGTTTGATCATCAAGGGAAGGGGCAGATGGGGTTCGCCAGTCATTCCCTACATGCAGATGTAAAGAGACGTTTGGAGATGAATTGATAGGAATTAAAATTTTCATGTCATCATTGATAGACTCTCTTCTTTGTTGAAGCAATGCCTTTTGGCAACAACTCTGAGGCTGATGGGAAGTCTTTATGTATTTCCATACAAATGCTGCCACATTTGTATGGAAAATGTATTTGTTAGTGAAGCAGAAGGGCTGAAACTGTTGATGGTGTCTATAAAAAATAAAAATAAAAAAAATAAAAACTTGCCAGATTGTCTCCTGCGATGCTAATCTCCTTATTCTGCTTGATTGGCTTTCTTCATTATATTAGATTATTACAATTTGAAGAAAGAAGACATACAGAGGTGTCGAAGGTGTGTGAGAGAGCCAGAAAAAAGCAGCCTGGTAGCCCCTCCTCATGCTGGTCACCTGCTTGGTCACTCACTGAGGAAAAATCTGTAATATAAAGCAAAGCGATCACTGACTCCAGACTGAGTTTTCTATTCATCTTTCAGTTTGATTAACGAGCAAAGTAGAACAATGGTAAACTTTATGAGACTTCTCAAGGACAATCTCTGTAGGGGGACAAAACATTCATTGCTACACAATGCAAATCATTGTGGGTTTTTAAAAAAAAGTAATTTTATTGCTTCTTTGCAAAGTTATTAATCAGAAAGCCTAAAAAAATAACATCATCAGATTTTAATTACTTTTTTTGTCATTTATGGTTTAAAGATTTGTGTCCAGGGCCTTCTGTGCCAAAAAAAAAAGCTTCACATTTTCTGTAGCAATAATAATTGTTCACTACTCAAAGCCAGACATGTACATTAAGTTGTCCCTGAAACTCCACTTTGAGAAAACATAAGAGAAGGTCAGCGGGTTGGTGTTAAATCTTGACTGTTGGAGTCAAATTGGAGATTCTCTAGTATGTTGCTGAG